ATATATATATATATATATATATATATATATATATATATATATATATATTTGCTTTTAATTTGTTTCAAAATAAATGAAATTAGATTTTAAGAAAATACTCAAACTAAATAAAAAGAATTATTTAGAGTATAAGTGTAAAAAATTTATTTAAAAAAAGTCATAATCCAAAAAAATACTTTAATAAAAACTTTGAAAGTTTATAGATGTTTTTATCTTTTAGTTTATTATTTTATGACCGTCTGATCAACAAGACGTACCTAAAATTAACCAAGAATAGCAAGCCAACGTCATTAACAACCACTTGACAACAAACCAACGAACAATTGTGAATAATTCAAATTTATCCTAAAATATGAAATATGAAAACGACACGAAACTTATCATTTAATAAAGTACGACTCATCATTACAAGTAATAGTAGTATTTCTAACAACAAAATTACTAAAAAAAATTACAACTTCTATTACATAAACTACAACTCATTTAAACGTAAAGAATTTAACAAAAATAATATAACCTAAATTAGACCTCCCTAACCTACCGTTACCAACCTAACAAAAGTCTTCAAACCGGCCTGGGTTAATCTACTGAACCGGGTCGAGCAACAGAATTGAATCTCTTTGAGCTTGCAGGTTCAATGCCGGTTCAACATCTGTTTCCTTCATCTTTCTCATTTCCAACACTTTCCGGTGGCTGTTGGAATGAACGTCGCCGGAAAAAGTAGGACTACAAGCCGGTCTATACTCAGGAAAAAGCCGGCCGGATTTAAAGCGGACCCCACAAGCGTTGCATAGGGTTTTTGGACCTAAAGGACCGGTTCTCCATTGAGGTGTCTTCTGAACTTGACAGTGAGTACACCGACGTTGATTAATTAACTCGCTTGAAACTTGTCCCTTTTGGGAAACCGGGTTTTTTCTCTGCTTCTTTGCCGACGCCGGCTTTTCGAAAAATTCAATGAAGTGAAACGGGTTTGTGAGAAGCATAGGAGAAGTTGCAGACAAGTCATGGGACGATGAAGAACTCGAAGACGACTCAGTGAGTGAACGCGACCCGGAAGACCACACTCGGCCGGGTTTTCTCGACTTTTCGGTTCTACCCTTCTTCGGAACCGGATATGGTAATCCCAAAACCGTAAAACTCCGAGCTGACATCAGGAACACCGGTTCAAACCGGTTCTCGGGAAACTGGCCGGCTTCATCCTTCAATTTCGTCTCCGGGCACGAAACAGGAAGCTCCGACACAGAATCATCCACAATTTGTGATAACCATTCAAGGCTTTCCATATCATCAATCTGAAATAAGACGTAAATTAATTAATTTCTCCATTTTTATCGAACTTTGTAAAAGTTGCAGGCAATTTTCCATGCAATAAATTGAATTTTATGAAGTTATGTGTATATACCGGAACTGGGAGCTGGTCGGCGGGAAGAGAAACGAGGTCGCCGGTGGTTAAAAACTTGCTAGAATTCAACGAATTACTATCATTATCCTGAGAAGAAACCGAGGCAAAATCCTCCTCGAAGGATTCTTCACCAGAAGTACTAAAATCCTTGTCAGAAAGATCTAAGAGATCGTCAACGGAGAATTCTTCGGTGGTGACATTAACAACGTTGTTAAGTCCGGCTACACACCATAAATCTTCAAAGGAAGCTTGTTGGGTTGATTTCATGTGAATTATTTCCGAGAGAAAGCTCGATTTCAATGCTTTTGCTTCAATACACTCCATATGAATTCTAATTTTTTTTGAATGAGATTAATTGCTAGGTGAGCGCTAGAGAAAAACCCCAACAAAGAATTTTCAAATGAAATTGGTATTATATGAATTGAGGTATGAAGTATGTATATAGATACAATAATTGTGTATGTATATCTACCCGGAGAGAGGGAGAAAACGGAAGAGAGAGAAAGAGGGGGAATTGGCGTGAAGATCACTGAGGAATGGTTAATGTGCGAACCTGATGGGGTGGACTCCATGTTTATTTTCTTTTTCCATTTTATATGCATTCTTTTCAAAGATTATTAATCGTTACAATGTCATACTTTTTGAATAGTATATGCATAAAATTAAGTCAAATTTTATAAAAACGTGATAATGACTTGAGAGGGTAATTTACTTTAGGTTTTGGTCATTAAATTATTTTTCGTGATTTATTAACCATTGAACTTGTTGAAACGTATACATTATACCATTATAACAGGTAATAATGGATTTTGTCGGTTTCCGATGTTGTTTCCGGCCAAACATGAGTTTTCCGGTTGTCTTCTCCGGTCAAACTCTATTTTTCGGCGTTGTTTCCGGCAAGAACCAAGAATTTTCTGGTCACTCATAAAAACCACCAAAAACTGAGTTCAAATCCAAAAAAATCCACAAAAAACGTAAAGTTGTCTCATAAATGTGTGTTCATGTGAAAAGCTTGAAATGCAAGTACTCAATACATTCTTTTGGAAACAAAAAAAGGAAATCTGGAACAAAGATCCACTCGATTTTGGAAGAAAAATAGAAAATCTGCTTCAATAAATCGTCGGTTCATATCGAAGAACATTGATATGTGAAATTGTTTTAAGAACTGAAACATGGATTTGCAGAAAAAAAATGAATAGGAACACGATTTCAAAATCGTTTTCTAATCTGTTTTGAAGATTCATCTTGTTATGTGGGTTTATGTTTGTTACTTCATCTTCATTCATGAAACTCTTCGTACCTGTTCTTCATCTTTTGGTATATTTTTCATCTGAAAACCCTAGAACTCGAATGTTGTGTTTCAAGAAACCCAAAACTCGATTTCCAAATGAACTTTTTTGTTCATGGCTAAGAATGTGGGGTTCAACACACGATAAACACAAATACACACAAGAACAACAAATTAAAGTTGATTAAGATTTCCTCCAGATTTTAATGAACACGCGAAAATGAACTTACAAATCATTTGCAATTTTATTCTTGAAATCAAAGTTGATGAAGATGAAGATGAACATACAAAAACCCTAGGTTTTTCGAGTTTGATTTCCTCCCGATTTCGATTTCGATTTCGATGAACATGATTCGAGTTCCTCCAGATTCGATGAGGATGAAGGTGATTCGTGTTTGTGTGTGAAAATTCGTGATGAAGATGAACATGAACACACGAAAACCCTAGGTTTTTCGAGTTCGATTTCCTCCAGATTTCATCAAGTTTTTTGAGTTAGAGTTCAAGGGTTTCGAGTTTATAGAGTTCTTGTGTTTGAGTTTAAGGATTTCGAGTTCATTTGATTCTTGTACTCAACATTTCCAATAAAAAAAAAGGTCTCGCCGAAAAATCGAGTTTCACCAAAGAATATGACTGGAAAATCATACTTGGCCGGAAAATTCATATTTGGCCGAAAACAACACTGGAAACCTGTAAAACCCACTATTACCGGTCATACTGGTATAATGTACACGTTTCAACAAGTTCAAGGGTTAATAAAACACGAAAAATAATTTAGTGACCAAAAGTTAAAGTACGTTACCCTCTCAAGTCATTATCCCTATAAAAACTAGTATAGTTTAAGGTTTTTATAACCATAATTTTTTTTTATTTAACTTAGAAACTAAGAATTTGTATTTTTTTTAAGAAAAAATCACACGTTATGGTTTTCCGTAATAATCTGCAAAAACACCATAGAAAAATATATTTTTTGGTTAAACTAATTTTTTAATAGATTTTTAAAATTTTATTAGTTAAATTATATAAAAAATTCTTAAAATAGTTAAACCAAACAAATTTCAAGGCTAACTGATTTTCATATAATTTAAATTTGAGAAATTAAATATTCTTCTACTTATTGTTCCTATAAATTTTCCTACCCAATGAAATAGTGACATGTTTAACATTTAATGCATAATTAATGATATTTTAGCATACAAATATATCACATGTCATTATTTTATTGAATATGAAGATTTGTAGGAAGAAAAGTTGGAAGATATTTAATTTCTCTTTTAAATTTTTATGTAGTGCATGTCTTATGTCTTATAGGGAAAAGGGTATATTTAACTAGTTAAATAAAAATGTTTTCAATGGTTTACTTAAATCGATATAATTTCAAACTACAACAATTTTTATAGAATTTAGTTTAAAACTAGTCGTTAAAATATCAAAAGATATATATTTTCAATTAATTTATTTTAAATAGTATATTCTTTAAAATGTTTATACGCTATCAGCTTTTTATGACCAAATCTTTTAAAATGTTTACTAGTTATAAAATTCTAACACACATTTTCGAATATTACTTTAACATTAACTGCATAAATGATAATTGACTATATTGGCCAAATTTCCATTTCTACAGTTATATACTAAGACCGCATTTCGTTTTTCCAATTATCAGACAGAAAGTAGTCTTTGAGTGTCTGCGGGCACCTCATGCTCAAGATTTTCTGCTAACTATCCCTATTGATGGTCTTGGTCAGCATATGTCTCCTGTGGAGTACCGAACTATCCTTCGTTACCGCCTCATGATTCCCATATTCTCAATTGACGAGATATGCCCAGTTTGTCGCAAGGCATGTTTGGATACTTTGGGGAACACACGGTTCATTGTAGAGAGCTCACTGGTTTCAAGTATAGACATGATGTGGTTCGGGATGTTCTCTTTGATGCTTGTCGGCGTGCTGGTATTTCTGTGAAGAAAGAAGCGCCAGTGAACTTTTTGACGAACTCGCAGGATGGAAGGTCCACACTTAGACCGGCTGACATTTTGGTCTTTGGATGGATAAGAGGGAAGCATGCGTGCGTGGATCTTACTGGGGTCTCTCCTCTCGTTGGTTTGGGGAGCGGGGGTTTCAC